CAGCCGCAGCAGCCGCAGCAGCCGCGGCGGCTGTGGCGGCGGTGGTTATAGAAGCAGCGATGATGATGGCACTCATGCTGATATTGAGGAGGAGGCGAGGGAGGATGGTTATGATGACCATGGCCAGAAGAACATGGTGATAGCTGTCAGAAACATGCTCACAACGTCAACCATCTACAATGCAAAGTGATGACCAGCAATAGTTGGAGGTAATCATGATCCAAGAAGTACTGGTGGTAGTAATTGCTTACCCGTCATTCACTCCCCCCAATATGCGATGTTGATTGGCCACAGTCCCGGCTGGACAGGTTCCCAACAAAATCACCCCTAAAAGAACTGTGGTTGTGCCAAGAGATAGGGGCGCAGAGTCCCCGGCTACTCTGCTGACTAGCTTTGCTGAAGCTAGGTTTCAAGCTTGCATCGTAGGAAGCAGCAAGAATATTCGCCACCAAGTCTCGATGTAGATTCGCCTGGATCTTCAAATATGTCCTCCAAAGTCGAGACTGATTTTTTCATCTGAAGACAGATCATCGGAAATGAGAGTCCATTGAACCCAAGGTCGATTGAATCAAAGGAAACGGCAAGGTGCCGCCGCTCTCGTTCGTTCCGCCAGCTTGCATCTGTTCTTGGGCTGCATGGGTCTTTGTTATCAAAATGCTTTCGCAATTTCGAGGCTGCAGAAGCATGGAGTTTGATTGAGCAGGCATTTTGCCTCTTGGCGGTCCGCACCTCCCAAATTCTGGTTCTTTGCAGGGAGGCCGCGCGCTTCCGATTGCAGTTCTCAGGTGCTTAGATTTGTTACCAGGTGCGGGCTGCTTTAAGTAAGCGCATTGCTCGGGGGCAATGCTTTGAGGTTCAGATTCAACTCATGGAGGTACGAGTCAAATACATCTACCGAGGTCTTGCATTTTGTGGGTGAGAGTGTGCCTTCCGAACCTCAGTAACCTGAAAGAACCCTGCAGAGCATGAAGCGTTTCAGCTACTGTTGGCCCCAAGATGTGACACGCACCCACCTCTCAACCACAACTTGCAATTGCCTGCCCGTGTGCTCAGCATAGCTTATGAACCCACATCCGTGAAGCCAAGCTACAAAGAGGCATCCCTGCTCAGGATCTCGAGCACAGCGTCGTGGGTGCAAAAGCGGCACCTCGAATGCTCTTTTCGTTGCCTTCTCGTTTTTCAGCAGAACTGACAGGAATGAAGTACAACTTCTGTACTTTCGGCCAGTTGCAGACTGCGCAACTTTAGCTACACATACTGAGGCTTCATTACTGCAAGAGAAGTGAGCTATAAACTAAGCATTTTCTGGATTCAGCCAAGCAGGTGCGCTGGGATGATCACTCCCAATATGACCTATAGTCTAGTCTCCCAGTATCCCCCTTAATAACCCCTATAGCAGTCCCTTATATAATTCCTAACCCCCTAGTTTAGACTATAGATCATATCAGCCTATTCTAATATGATAGTTTCCATTCTCTTTTCCGTTATCCCCATAAAACCCAAATATATACCCCAGTATACCCTCTAGCTCACAGGGTTTAGGGTTTCCAACAATAAAGGGTAGGAGTACCTTATTGGGGGTCCCCATGATGTTGGGATCCCCCTAATTAGGGAAACTACCATATACATCGCGAACACACTCAGCTCCACAACTGTAGCACAATTCACGCTCCACATGTCCTCCTGTCGAGGAACAGGCAGACCTCATAAATCGAAAATGGCAAGCGTTCCGCTGCGGAAATCCGACTTGCACGGACCAAAGCTTGCAAGCAGGATGCCATCAAGGCAGCGGCCGGGGCCGCCCGAATTACACAGGACTGCGCACACACCCTGTCCCGAGCCGAGACGGCAGGAAGCAGCCTCCAGCGTGCCCGAGAACAGATTCCAACGTGCCTAAAATTCTGCCGCCTGGTGTCCCAAACAGCCTCCACGGTACCCGAACCGGCGCCCCGGAACCTCATCAGAACAGACCCCTTCTCATGCCGGCTTTCGGGGAATCCCAGGCCACCCCCGAAAACGCTCCAACCACATTTTGGGGTTCCCCCTCCTCCCTGCCCCCTTAATGCAGATCAGAAGAGCAGGGTTCAAGACGCGAGCTTGGGAAAGCTTGCGTAAAAACCCTTAGCGCAGAATCAGGGAGTACTCAAAGGACTCAAGGCAGAAAGCTGGCCTGGAGAACAATCAACCAGTGTGCTCAAATTTCATTGTGTGATTCCAGCATTGAATCAGCACCGAAACAAGCCGTGCTCAAGTTGGCTCACGGCTTGGCAGGAGGAAAGCCGCAAAAAAGCATCTGACATAAGTGATCGAGTTGAGCAAAGATCAAGAAGATGCGCTAGCGAAGAATTATTGAAGCACCGGTACGTTCACCACCAAACCAAGATGTTTGCAAGCGGTAGATACCATGCGTGTAGCCGTGATTTAATCAATGCTTGGCAACAATTCCAGAATCCCAAGCCGAGGCACCAGGTGGCTGCTTGTGTTTGGCCATTTCGGGCCGGTCATGACCTTGGTCAAAGAGCCAAACACGCATGCTTACCTTTCATGTTTTCCGCATGTGCGCTTGCTTGTACCAAACAAACTGTCTATGCCTATTGATGTTCCAGATTGACTTCACAACCTTGAAGGAGCGCTTGAAGTGCAGAGGCGATGGGGTGCTATCTCAGGATTGCGCTGCGTCACATTCTCGCATTGTCATGAGTCCACCACATCAATCAGAACTGAGGCACATTTTGACTCACCTGCTGCCGGAGGCCCATGGAATTCCATTTTCGCACGTCCACACCGACCAGCAGCTTGTACCTGTTTTGGATCATTGTTCGATAAACACCTACACGCAATAAACTCCACATCCAGGCCTCCCACGAATTACTCCACCCACAAATGCTTGGCCATCGCTGTTTGGTGTTGAAGCGGATGTCTCACCGATGATGACTTCCTGCAACACCACTGAATATCCCCACATTCTAATACTGGCCACACAACCAGCCTGACATGCCACAGGCACTTGGTGGGGTCTCAGCTGTTCTCTACAAAAGCATGAGCCTTGCGGCATTGAGACCATGATCAAGCAAATATGGTTAGTACCTGGCCTCTTGCCTGGTCTCAAGCAGCCCGAGTTGCCCTCCCGGCTTTAAACGTGCTTCTATCTGATGTGTCTGATAGGTGGGAAATACAATACGCAAATACAACATGCAACTCTACCAGTCCGGGTCTGCGCCTTTTGTTTCTTGAAACGCCATACGCGAATTCACTCCTTTTGGCCGGCAACAGCTAGCAACGACTTCCATCCTCCACTCAGATTTTTGTGCCACGGGCCTCTCCTTCGGTTCACAGATGCTTCAAACATGAGCTTCTTGTAGCATTTCCTCACCAATGCTGGTTTGGGACCGTACGCCCGTAAAGGAAGATCATATACACTAAGGAGGAGGGTGGTCAACTGAATGGAGTTCCATGTCAGGCGGAACCAGCTGATCTAAAAAAGTTGGCTGCAAAGATCACAGAAACCTTGATGCCAAAGGCATCAAGAACATTGAGGCGGCTCTTTCTGTGACCTGCAGTCTGCAGAATGACCGGAATCCGCCAAGCGGCTTTCGCCGCGGGGCATCTGCCACCACATCAGCAAGGCAGGTGGTGACAGCACGGCTAGCACGACAACACCTGCCAAGACCTCATCTTCGAGGAGGTGATGGCAGGCGTGTGCGGTCAAAGCCGCTGCTGTATAGAGGGCAACTCCGACGAGCACAACCAGCAAGGAGAGCAACAGCCGCTTGAGCTGAGTTGCGCCATATCTCCGCAGCTTGTAGGCAGTCTGACATGCGAGCAGCAGTCCAGTTGGCAGAACAACCAACCAGTCCCTTACAAGAGCAAGGGCCGGCACGACAGGAGACCCACCTTCACGCCGTGCACGGCTTGCTAAAACATCAAGATTTATGAATATAACTGGGCTCGCAAGCTGCACCATTCGCCAGTAGGTGAAGGTTTGAAAGGTCAACTGATGAATCATGACCTCCCGGACCTCACCTCGCACATGGTCCTCGAACTGCCGCAGTGATCCGAACCAGGCATTGATGCAACGATAAATGATTTCACGGTCGCAAGCCATTGGCTCGCCTGTTCTTTTGTTAACATGGCCCATAGCACAACAGCCACACTCGGTCTGGTCAACAGTGAAGTTGTGGACTTGCTGATGGATCCTGTCAATGCTTTGGTAGTGCTGGATGACTGTGTGTGCACCAATGGTAAGACTTGGGAAGGCGAGGACTGCAATCAGCAGGAGACCATATGGGAACCAGTCAAGCTGCCCAGGAATGCAGACGAAGATCAGGTGAAGAAGACTCAAACCCAAATGTCCCGCCAAGAGCGTACATCCCACCAAAACCGGGCAAACTTCTAAATTTACTGCCTTTCCTTGTCGGCTGTGCAGGAATGCTGCAAGCTCGAAGACACACCATAAGCGCCTACTCAGCGACTCATTGGTTGGTTGGTAGTGATTGCC